AAGGGAGGAAAAGATGCTTGCTCTCCCCACCCTTCTGCTCTTGCTGCTTTTGCTGTCTTCTGCTGCCTTGAACTGTTGCCCCTCACCATGCCACCCTGCCTTGGAGCAGCTGATTATGGACTGAAACTTCCACAAACTATGAGCTAAATAAACCTTTCCTTTCTTAATTTTGGGTGTTGGGTATTTTGTCTCAGATTATGGACTGAAACTTCCACAAACTATGAGCTAAATAAACCTTTCCTTTCTTAATTTTGGGTGTTGGGTATTTTGTCTCAGCAACAAGAGAAAAGTAACCAAGACAGGAGTAGACGCAGTGATATGAGTAAAAAATTTAAGGCCAGGTCCAAGTAGCTATTTGGTCAGTGTTAATTACTTCTGTTCAATTTCCCCTCCTTCCCCAATTTAAATTCTTTCCTTGTCCCTCAATTATTCAGATAACAACCAATTTTGTGTGACTGCAAGTGTCACATCATCTTAGTGATCTTTCACACATTTAGGTTAATCCTTACAGATTACTCAAAATACACCTGCACCCAGCATCCTACATTTAGTCCAAACTTTTAAACTTACCGAACAAAGCAGTGAGCTGCAGATAAGAGCCACCTGCTGCTAATCAGGGAGGCCCCACAGTTGTGTCGGCCTTTCCATTGTAGGCTGGCCTGCCATGGCCATGCCCCTTCTGGGGCATTTTCCCCATTCACAATCCGGTTGCCAGCTGTGATACTGTTGACCAATTGTCTCCCACAGCCTAGAAAAAGAGTTTACAAGAGAAAGTATCTTTGATTATGCTTTATGAGAAACATTACCTTAACCATTACTTGAATCCCATCAGCTGTAATTCAGTTTATCTTGATAGATTCTTTTGCTTTCCTGTTTTCACAGTGCCCCATTCTTCTTGCTCGAAACACTTACTCTCTTTTCCATTCTCAAGCATCTTTTCTGCTACCTTTTCTTGCTCCTGTTTGTTAAAATTTAAAAATTCTCCTTCTCCCCAGTAGATTACTAAGTTCTTGAAAGTTCAGACTGCTTCATGAAGGGCCACATGTTACTAAAATATGAAATACCATTAGCGGACACTATGTGGACACTCAATACTCTGTATATATCTAATTCATTGAGTTAATGACTATATCTTATCAGCAATATAATACTCCAAAGAGAATTAATTTTTAATGCATAGAAATGTTTTTAT